AAAGAGCACCGACATTGTGATCCTCGCAGGCGATTTGAATGCTCAAGTAGGTCGTCTGAGCTCCTTGGAATCACACTTGGGTGGTCGTTTCGGAGTCGATGCTCGCCGCACAGACAACGGAGATCGACTTCTTCAGATGTGTGCTGACCACGAACTGCCTCTGGCAAGTACGAGCTTTCAACATAAACGTTCGCACCGCGTAACCTGGCGGCCTGTCATCATTTTTTGTGTGCTTATTCTTATACTTACCACGTATACTCGTACTGAACCTTTGTATGTATATTTCAGCTCATGTACGCTTGTTCTTACACAAGTAAAACGTTGCTTATCCTCGAAAACCTGGACTCTGTTCTAACTCGTTCTCGGATTCATTCTAAACGTCTCAGTTTACTTGTCTAAGAACACAATGGAACCGCAACTACGACCTCTGTTCTTTGACGCTGACCCAAACTCCGCAGATGCAGCAAAACGCTGGAATCACTGGTTTCGTACCTTCAAAACCTATCTGAAAACTGTCGAATCCTCTAAACCCAACAAACATGAAACTCTTATCCACTTTGTGGATCTGTTGGTATACGATCACATTGCTGATCGCACCAACTATGAATCTGCAATCGACACGCTACGGAAATTATATGTCCGTCCGAAAAATGTTATATATGCACGCTACCTGCTACAGACCTACAAGCAGGAGAGTGGACAAGATATCGATCAGTTCGTACAAAAACTGAAGTCATTAGCCATATACTGTGAGTTTAAATCTGTGTCTGCAACTGAATATCAAGATGAGTGCGTGCAGGATGCTAGAATTAACGGCCTGGCGTCCAAATCCATCCGCGAGAAACTTCTAGCACAGAGCGAACTCACTCTGTGCCAAACATACCAGCTGGCTAGATCCCTCAAATTAGCTCACAAACAGTTACAGTCATATGTTAGTAACGAACCCATATCTTGCTCTACGATTCCACCCATTTCACAGAATCCCGAATTCCGTGTTGATCCGACCACTGCTGCTGTAAAATCCATTCAGACATGTTATTTCTGCGGTTATGATGCACATCCTCGTCCAAAGTGCCCCGCTCGAGAAGCCGTCTGGAATCTTTGTGGTAAACGCGGTCACTTCCACCGCGTGTGCCGTTCAAAAAATACCTCCAAGTTCCACACAAGTTGTACAACAAAGCCTACTTTATCGTCATTATTTGTTCCAGCAGCTCCTACCTGCTTGGCGCATGCCATGGCAACTATCTAAGTCAATGGCATCACTCTCCGTGCTCTGGTCGACACAGGGAGTTCTTGCAGTTTCATTAACGCTAAGGTCGTGAAACTGCATAATTGGAAAATTTACCCAACTTTCTCAGTCGTCACAATGGCGTCTACATCCCTATCTTGTCGAACGACTGGTTACGCTTGTGTTTCTGTCCGATACAGAGATACCTCATACAATGAACTGAAGCTCTTTGTAATGCCAAACCTCTGCATCGACGTTTTGCTCGGGCATGACTTTCTAGGTCTACATGGCAAGGTAGAAATTTCATTCGGCGGAGATCGTGATCCGCTCACCATCTGCGTCCTGACGGCTGTAAACGTTGAATCACCATCACTTTTCGCCAACCTGTCTCCAGATTGCAAACCTGTTGCAACCAAATCAAGAAGGCATCACCCGGATGACGAAAAATTCATTCGCGCCGAAGTTGACCGCTTATTGCAAGAAGGCATCATCGAACCGTCAACGTCTCCCTGGAGAGCGCAGGTTTTGGTTACCAAGGGTATCAGTCACAAACGCCGGACGGTTGTTGACTACAGCCAAACTAACAACCGGTTCACATATCTGGACGCTTACGCTCTGCCGCGCTTGGACAAAATGATTGAGGAAATTTCGTACTACGAGGTCTATAGTACATTAGACCTCATGTCTGCCTACCATCAAGTCCCCATCTCTGCATCCGACAAACCTTTTACAGCATTCGAAGCACGTGGTGGCCTGTTTTAGTTTTGTCGCATACCCTTCGGTGTCACAAACGGTGTTGTGTGTTTTCAGTGAACTATTAACAATATCATTACGACTGAAAAGCTGAAAAGCACGTATGCCTACATAGACAATGTGACTATTTGTG